GCACTGAACCAGATGAAATGGCCAAAGATATAGCATCTTTTATGGATTAACGCAAAAATCAACCCGGCAATGGCAATGGCACAACAGGCAACGGAGAATACAAAAAACGAACTACCAACTGCTTATCAAGACTATCAAGACGTCTTTGAAAAACAAGCAGCCGAACGGTTTCCGGAATCAAGGCCATACAACCATGCCATCGACCTGAAACCAGATTTCATCCCCAAAGATTGCAAAGTCTATCCGTTATCTCCATTGGAACAACAGAAACTCGACGAATTCCTCGATGAGAATATGCGAAAAGGCTACATACGACCATCAAAATCACCAATGGCCTCACCATTCTTCTTCGTAGGAAAGAAAGACGGAACACTACGACCATGCCAAGACTACCGGTATTTGAACGATGGCACTATCAAAAATGCATACCCACTTCCTCTCATCTCAGACCTTGTTGACCAACTCAAAGGATCCAGCATATTCACTAAGCTTGATTTACGAGCAGGATACAACAACGTACGAATCAAAGATGGAGATCAATGGAAAGCAGCCTTCAAAACGAACAGAGGACTATTCGAACCAACGGTCATGTTCTTTGGACTATGCAACTCCCCGGCAACGTTCCAAGCAATGATGAATGACCTATTCCGCGACATGGTCAACGAAGGATGGCTCGTCATCTATATGGATGACATGCTTATTCATCCATCCAATCAAAATGAACATAGAAAGAGAACACGAAGAATCCTTCAAAGACTCCGCGACAATGACCTTTTCCTCAAACTTGAGAAATGCACCTTTGATGCATGGCAAGTCGAATTCCTCGGAGCACTCGTATCACACAACCAAGTTGCCATGGACCCAGTCAAAATCAAAGGAATATTGGACTGGCCGATACCAACTACCGTCAAACAAGTTTGAGGATTTCTAGAATTTGGCAACTTCTATCGACGCTTCATCGACCATTATTCAGACATTGCAAAGCCACTCAATGAACTCACCAAGAAAGACAAGCCGTTCAATTGGACAGACGAATGTCAGAAGGCTTTCGAGACGCTAAAACAACAATTTACATCGGCGCCTCTTCTATTAATGCTGGATGCCACAAAGCCATTCCTCATTGAAGCAGACGCATCACTTTTCACAACAACAGCAGTACTCCGACAACAAGATATCAACGGAGATTGGCTACCAGTCGCCTACCTGTCCCAATCCTTCAACCCAGCAGAACACAACTACGAAATCTACGATAGGGAATTACTGGCAATAATACGAGCGCTCGAAGCGTGGCGCCACTACTTAGAAGGAAACCCAAGCGCCACGAAGATCCTCACCGACCACAAGAACCTCACGTACTTCCGATCTCCACAACAATTGAATAGACGACAAGCAAGATGGCAGCTATTCATGTCCCAGTTCAATTATGAACTTGAACACCATGCAGGCACCAGACTCATCCAAGCGGACACCATGACAAGAGCCTCTGCACCAGCTGATGCAAAATTCGACAATACAGAAGAAGTGTTACTACCCAAAGACAAATTCGTCGCCACAATCCTCCTACCAGACTCATTATTCACCGAAGAAGCAATCATTTCTGACATCGAAATTGAAGCACCCACTTCAAGCGTGGATTATAAATTGGCAGAAGACATTCAAAAACATCTTACACATGACGACATTGCTGAACAAGTACGATCAGCACGACTAGGAAAAACAGACGCATTTCCTTTCAAGTCAAACACGGATCAATGGGAAGAAAGAGATGGACTACTCTTCTATAAGGAACAATGCTACATACCAGCAAATCAAGCACTACAATGCCACATCATATCCTCCTACCATGATTCCCCTGGAGCTGGACACCCTGGACAATGGAAAACAGGAGAACTCACCCGATGCGAATACTTTTGGCCAAGCATGCAAACCTTCATCTCAAATTACGTCCGAGGTTGCGCAAAATGCCAGCAAATGAAAATTAATCATCAGCCAACTATTCCACCTCTCCAACCGATCAAATCTACTCGACGGGACCGACCATTCGCGTTCACAACCTGCGACTTCATCACACACCTCCCGGCGTCTCACGGATATAATGCTCAAATGGTCGTGGTAGACCATGATTCTATGAAGGGGGTAATTCTTTGCCCTTGCACGGAGAAGATAGACGCGCTAGGCACAGCCAAACTCTACCATCAATATGTCTACCGAAGATTCGGACTACCAGACGTCTTTCTCATGGACCGGGGTCCGCAATTCGACTCCCAAGTCATGAGAGAATTGTGGAAGCTAACCGGAGTACAAGGACGAATGAGCACCGCATACCATCCTCAGACCGACGGTCAAACAGAACGAGCCAATCAAGAGGTAGAAGCGTACATCAGAATTTTCTGCCAGAACAATCCGCACAGCTGGGCACAGCTTCTTTCCGATATGGAAGTGGCGTTCAACAATCGAGAACACAGCACCACAAAGCATTCGCCATTCTATCTCATGTATGGTTCACACTCAAGGATCATCTCCACAGCCTTTCCCAAGACTAAGGTTCCATCCATACAACAATGGCTTCTAGAACGAACCCGCGCACACGAAGAGGCCCACGCTGCCTTAGACCAAGCACAGCATCGCATGGCCTCAAGAACTTACAGGAAGTTTTCACCGTTCCAGAAAGGCCAGAAAGTTTGGCTTGAGATGACAAACTTCCAAGATGGTTATCCCTTCAAGAAACTCGCACCAAAACGTCAGGGACCATTCAGAATCAAAGAGGTTCTAGGACCTTTGGTATACAAACTCGATCTTTGAGGGCAGCGAAAACTTCATGATGTCTTCCACGCCTCGCTTCTCATCCCGTATCATGAAACCGAGCAGCACGGCTCCAATTTCATAGAACAGCCTCCAGAGATCATCGACGGCCATGAAGAGCACGAAGTCGAGGCGATACTCAATCACAAGATATCCTATGGCTATGTCCAATACCTAGTCAAGTGGAAAGAACAGCCACAAGCAGAGAACTCCTGGGAATACCTGCCTATTCGTTCTCCAGCCAAGACAACCCCAGTCGCAGCTACAACAAGTTTCAAGTCTCCAAACCAGCCTCACCTCTCTACGAAACAATGTCTTCCACTCTCGCCACCATCTTCGAGCGCGTCCCCGTCTCCACCCTCACAGAATCCACCTCACAAATTCGCATCCGCAGCCCGTCTTCCATTGAACTCTCCAACGCCCAGCACGCATACGATGCCGATGTCTCCGACAACAACCTCGTTCCATCCCGTGCACCCACTCCAGACTCACACGAAAGCACCATTCCCGTTGACGAGCACTCTGAGTCCCACTGGGACTGGAGCAGCGCCAGTGCCGAAGAAAATGAACGAAGATACCGTGAAACCACTTACCTCCAGCGAATCACCAAAATTCGCAACGACTACAGTGCCTGCGAGCTCCTCTCGCAACTTGCCAAGGAAGAGGACAATGCCACGAAGATATTTGCAAGGACTGTCACAAGTTTCCACGCCCTCAACAAACATTTTACCGACACTCATCGCGACGCTGCAAACTTGGTGCACATCAACGACAAAGGGCTTGCAAGGCTCAGGACGCAAATCGGGAGGACAGACACAGAGCATCTAGAGGCATGGAGAGATTTTGCCAATTATTCTGAAACACACCCATCGGCATCTCGCATCGTCAACACTGCTCATCGCTACCAATTCGGGCCCTCAATCCATTTCGCCTACCTATTCAACGACTTCGAACCCATGCCCAACCCGACGCCGACCTACTCTCGACCCCTCTCCGAACGCCTCACTTCTTCGTCATCCAGCCAGTCCTTTCTATCGGCCAGCCAGTCCTTTTGGGGATTTTGAGAACAGCCATCCTCTTTGCAGGAGTCGCCGTCACTCCCATCGTATGAGTCCAACCGCAACATCTCCACCAAGAAGTTGGTCCGCTTCGCCTCCCACGACAAATCCCTCGACATCGTCGATCCCGGCTGGACATCTCCGAGCGCGCTCTCGGATTGGACGACTCCTGCAAAGGTTTCGAAGAGGCAGCTCAAGCGCGAACGCCGCCACTGCCGCAAACAATCCAAGTCACTCATAATCGCCAAGAAAGCTCTTGAGGATGCAGTCGCGCAAGTTCAGGAGGAGATCTGGGCTCTCAACTAATTTCGATCGTTGCTCGAAGGTAGATTAGGGGGTAATGTTATGATGGGCATGGTGGCGTGGGATATCATTTCCTTTTTTCGTCTCTGACTCTAGTCTAGTAGTACAGCTTTCGTCGACTCATAGAGCGCAGCTCCACTGACTCACCCGCAGTCCCTTTGACTAGTAGACTAGTCCTTAGGTTAGGCTGAGCAGTAGTATATATACCCCGCGCATGTACAGTAGAACTTCAGCTTTCAGCTCTTTCGTAAATTCACGTTTCTTTATTCTGCTCTAACCTCATCTGCGGATAAGGCGATCAGACAAGCCTCAGGCTTGCTAAGAAACCTCTGTCATAACACTTGCCTCCGAGTCGGTGGAAACTTTCAGTGGAGTCAGACTTGGCTAACATAAAATATAAAAGAAACTGACCATTTATAAAGATTCAGCATAGCAAATGAGTGTACGGTCCCAGCCGGGATGCACTCACTGGCAGAATGCGGTGGGCATGGGAGGCCTGAGAGGGAGCCCAAGCGGTCTCCCGGGGGCGCCTTCATGTCACGTGCACTCGGGACCCCGGGCGACCGCAAACGCCACGACGCTACCGAAAATCTTCACATTAATATTCCCGCTCTCAAGCTTCCAGCCGCATCTTTCCAGATCTCTCCCTTCATATACCTGGCTGCGACGGGAGTCACCGCATTCCTCCACGACAACAATGACGACAACGACAAGCCAGTGTCGTCTCAGCTACAAGCTCCAGCTTCAAGACCAGTCGTCCAGAGGTACGCAATAAAGAATCAATAGACGAGGGCTAACTACTTTACATGTTTCACGGCCATTTCAGACCCATTCACTTGCATTTTGGATAGGAGACAGCCCGCCGCTACATCATGATGAAACCCAGCTGCATCCTGGGGTTCTGTGTTATCGCCGGCTGGTGTGCGACGATTGGAGGCAACGCGATGTTGTACGGCGGGTTAGGGAGACCAGCGAGTACCTGGACGATTGGCGGGAGGTAGGTAGCGACGGGTGGATGCTGGTGTGCGTCGATCGGAGGCAGCACAATGTTGTACGGTGGGTTAGGGAGATCAGCGAGTACCTGGGCGATTGGCGGGAGGTAAGTCGGCGCGGGCGGAGCTAGTGCGGCGAGCGGAGGCGGTATGACGACGAAGGCACCTTGGGCCGGCTGCGCAGCAAGCGCGACGGCGGCAGGCATCGGTGCAGCGACTGGCGCGGCTTGCACAGGGGCAGGCAGAGCAACGACCGCAGCTGGCGCAGCTATCGGGACGTTAGCAGCACCTGCCGCATGGACTCCGTCACGGTTCTCCACATGGCAAGATGGATGGCAGAAGGATGGGCGGGGTGGCCTGCGCCTGTTGCGCTTAGGCCTGAAACCTTCATCGTCATCGTCGTACTCGCTGGGGCCGGGGGCCGCTTTTTCCTTGTTCGCGGCGTGCCTCTTCCGGGGCTCTTCATCGACATCCTCCTCCTTGACATCCTCCACCTCCCGTGCTCTCTTCTTTCCCCTCTGATTCTCCGTCTTGATGGCGTCCCGGTAGCCGCTTGTGGCGAGTGAGGCTGCGACGTGGTCAGCGCGTCCCGAAGGTGCGTCGTATCGGAGGTGGTAGTTGCGAGACAAGGCGGCGCCTTGTCTGGCTGTATCGACTGTTTGTTGGTTCGACGCGAACTGGCCAGCGGTGGATACCGCTGTACGAGTCCCTCGTCGAACGTTTTCGTCTCTGGGTGCTTGGCCGCTGTATTCAGCGACATGCGGCGGCTGTCCAAGATTTGAGCGAGCTAGAGCTACGCAGGGAG